TTTGTAGTATGTTAGCATTAGAGCTTTTTGTCAGGTTAACCTCCAGTATGAGGATATATATAGAACTATAAATAGTAAGAGCATCTAAGTTCGGCAGGCCCCAGTAGTCAGCATTTTTTAAAAATTTAAATTAAAATACAAACAGTCTTGTAACGAAAGGTAAAAATAATTGTATATTAACTTCCAAATAAAGGTGGCCATCTTTGGATGATTTATTCTATTAAAATCTAATTTTTTGTCTATGAGGATCCGTCAGCACGAACGAGACAATGCATATTCTTAAGAAAAAAAATAAGCTAAAAAGGTATCAGTCGGTTGTGCCATCAGATGTATACCTATGTTCGATTATTTCAATATATTTTGACTTCTGTTACGATTATTCAAATTGTTGAACCTCTATGGAGTAGGTTCCGAAGGAATGCACCAATTTTGTCTATTTCATATAGGACCTGAATAAATATGATATAATTATTGCAACGTGTCAGGTTTAATCTATATTGGTTACTTCCTTTACTATATATGAAATATGTGATAATTTTTAGAAAACTTTCAAAATGTGAGTGAGGTGCCAGATATAGTTGACTGAAGTATTTCATTTTCCTACTTCATCTAATACAGAAAAATATTGGTATTACAAAAAAAACGAATATTTACATCCAATTTTATGCGAAATCATTAATTCCATATTCATCTCAGGTTTTTGTTTGAGAGAAATATTTACATATAAAAGTGTTGAAAATTGTGATCCTTTGTTGGTGAGGTATCAAAAGGGGTTCGCAGATATATATCAGATCAAAACTGTTTGTATAAATTTTGAAAAGAGTTGAATGCTTATTTCGCTTTTTATACCCTCCACCTTGGAAGGAGGGTATATTAACTTTGTCATTCCGTTTGTAACATCCCTAAATATTCGTCGTAGACCCCATAAAGTATATATATTCATAATCAGCATAAAATTCTAAGTCGATTAAACCATGTCCGTCTGTCTGTCTGTTGAAATCACGATACCGCTCACATTATTTGACGTAGAGCGTCAAAATTTGGCAGAACAATTTGTATTGTATCTAGGATGGTTGGTATTGAAAATGAGATAAATCGGTCCACGTTCTGGTATAGTCCCCATATAACGGTACCTCCCGATATTCGGTATTTTGATGATTTATGCCACATTTTTTCACGGATTTATCTGAAAATTGGTATTTGTAAGTCACAACGGGTCCCTGAGCGTGTGGCAAAACATTGCATGTATAGGTCCACGTTTTGGTATAGACCCCATATAACGGTACCTACCGATATTCGGTATTTTGATGATTTATGCCACATTTTTTCACGGATTTGTATGAAAATTGGTATTTATAGGTCACAACGGGTCCCTGAGCGTGTGGCAAAGCACTGCATGTACAGGTCCACGTTTTGGTATAGCCCCCATATGACGGTACCTCCCGATATTCGGCATTTTAATGGTTTATGCCACATTTTTTCACGGATTTGTCTGAAAATTGGTATTTGTAGGTCAAAACGGGTCCTAGTTCCTCTGGCGAAACATTGTAATTATAGGTGCACGTGTTGGTGTAGCCCCCATATAACGGTACCTCCCGATATTCGGCATTTTAATGGTTTTTGCCACATTTCTTCTAATGTTCTTTTACCCTAAGGTGGAGGGCATTAAAAGTTTGGCCCGGCCGAACTTAATGTTTTTTTACTTGTTATTTTTCAAAATCTTGTACCCTATCTGGAGCAGATACCAGAAGATATGGTCAGATCTCTAACATATTTTTAACAGATCTTGTCTGGAATGGAGTCGGATGTTAATTTTGCGTTTTATGAGCTTCATGGATATTAAAAATGTTGACCCTTTGTGGGGGAGGTACCAGAAGGAGTGGACCGATATATCCCATCCTCATAGCAAATGTTTTGTTAATAGAAATAATGGGATGTATGAAATATGAAGAAAATCGGATGCTTATTTCGGATTTTATAATCGTTTTGGTTATTCAAAACTTTTACCCTTTGTGGCTGAGGCACCAGAAGAAATGGTCCGATCCCTACCATCTTTATAACAGATCTGGCGTTGATAGCAGTATTGAAATGTGCCAAGTCTGAATGTAATCGGATGTTAATTTTACGTTTTGTGAGCTTCATGGATATTAAAAATGTTGACCCTTTATGGGGGAGGTAACAGAAGGAGTGGACCGATATATTCCATCTTCACACACTTTATGTTGAAATGAGGAACCGGAGTATTTCACTTCAACTAATCCTGATAAAAATATTGGAATGTGCAAACTTTAAAGAAAATATAACATTTATTTTCAATTTTTTGTGAATATTTGTTAATAAAAATTTAAACATTGTGTTGGCCGATAAATTCCCTACTCACATCAGATATGCCGATAACAGGGTGAAATAGAGAACTGCAACAAAGTCAAACGCCATAACAACTAATTTTTTTTAAATTTTATTGAATGAAAGCAAAAATGTCGGAAATAGCATCAAATACTAGAATAAGTTTAGATTTGTTCGAATTGTTCACCTTTGCCACGAATTATGGCCTTCAAACGGCCAATGAAACCGTCACACGCTGCCCGAATGTTGCCTTGCGGTATTTTTTGAGGTGATCGACACTTTGGTATTTTTTAGTGCCTACCTTACTTTGAAAATACTCCAGACACAATAGTCCAACGGATTGGTATCCGGAGATTTTGGTGGCCATGTGCGCTGGAAATGAAGCGAGGTACCTGATTTTCTAACCATTCTTGAGTGGCGCGTGCTGCACCGTCGCGCTGAGTCCTGTTGGAATGTCCAAGGTCTGCAGCCAAAATGTTTGCGTGCCCAAGGCTTTAATACACCCTCCAGAATATTTTCGCGATAATATTCGGCATTTATTCTGATGCCACGGTCGATTAATACGAGCGGAGAACGACCATCGGCCCACACCATCACCATGGCCGGCGCTTGAGTTCTGGTGGCCAACCGAAGGTGCACATTTTCAGCTGACCTCTTTGGCAAGTAAACACGATCATTTTGTTTGTTTACAAACTGCTGGACAACGAATGTTTTCTAATCGGGGAAAACCAAATTCGGCAGTTCACCACTTTCGGCCATGCGAAGCAACTCTTTAGCTCTTTTGAGTCTATTTTCTTTCAGTTGCGGTGTAATTAATTTTTGGAATTTCAATGGCTTTACGCCGAGCTCATTTTCAATATTTGCCGAAAGGAATATTGTGATATGTTCAGCTCACGAGCCACTGCGACTCGGGTTTCGATCAAGTCACTTCTTTACTTTTCGAACCATTTCTGCTGATGTTGCTGTTTTCTTCCGTCCACTTCCTTGACGTCAGGCTACGCCACCAGTATCACGGTGAGGGGCGATGGTACGAGACACAAAAGATTTATTCATATTTAAATGCTGGAGTGCTCTAACGATAGCCACTCGTGGTTTTCCAGCCAAATATAAAGAAATCACACTATCACGCTTGAATTCCATCACGAATAACTTTTTTTCTGAAAAATGTTCACCATTGATTTTATATGCTAGTCACATGAATAATTTTAACAGCTGTCGGACGAATGGCTTAGAAATGACAGCAGTCTGAAGTTGGTTGCATTTTTTTCATCTTACCCAGTAGGTATATATTTTGGTATAGTTCGCATATAACAGTATAACACATTTTGGTATAGTTCACATATAACAGTGCCTCCCAGTTCCACCAATTGGCGGACAAACAGACGGACATTGTTTAATCGTCACTGAATTATACTATTGTCAAAAACATGGACTGCATGTAGACTCTAACGCACAATTTTGGTGCTATAGTATTGAGTGTAACGGAAAAATTAACTGACTGACTGGAAAAAAATTAAATACCACGCAGCACGGTGGTATTTGAATTAAAAATGAATAGATGTTCTATTTCATTTATCATTTAAGTTTCTAAATCCAATTTAAAGCCTGGCTGAAAAGGATCAGGATTAGGGGTTTCAAAACACTTTAAATCGACCGGTACGTAAACATATATTGATATATATATATTGTATTTCCTTCTATTTAGCGGAGTCATTTATGAGCCAGAATTATTATGCTATAAAAAGAGGCATTAAAGAGTAGTATAATATAATTATAACATAATTCGAAATTTTTAAAAAAAGTGGTGACTTGTCCCCTCTATGCTATGTTAATTTTTAAAACGTCGACACTCGTTCTTTCTACTATTTTTTGGCTTTTAGTAATCTATTCGGTTTTTTGTGTTACACTGTTTCATATTTCTTTAATGATCATATTCAAAAATTTCAATCCAACACTCAACTAAAATCCAAAGCTTTCTACAAGCTTACTTTCACTCGTAGTTATCTCCACCGCATGAGTGAAGCTTGAGAGAGATATATGCATTGTAGAAACGTGTTGGTGAATGTTGGTGTAAAATACAGCATGCACGTGAATGAACCGCCGACAAAGATGATGATGATGATGACGGTGACGATGATGTTTATGTTTTGTGGCAAAGAACACCAATGGGAAATAACAACAAAACAAGACACATGCAGCGACGATAGCAGCAGGATAAACCCACAAAACACACGTTCGTCCATCATTAGAGCCGGTGGCTACAGTGAAAACAGAACGAAACCAACAATTCAAACAGAAAAATAACATAGTGAGACACGTAATGATGAAGTCGTTGTAAAATGTGTCAACGTTGGATTCTTTCCGTCGTCGCCGTTCCCGAGTCGTCAGCTGAGCGAGGGTGTTACTGTTGCGTAGAGAAAACGTGCCCTACAACAATACAATCCACATGAACTTGAAGAGAAAATACGGTGTCTGTATCTCACACACTCACACAGAATTATTGGGGGAGTGTGAAATTAAGAGAGGACTCTCAAGGGCTATGTGAAATTGAAAAGAGATCCTTAGTGCTGTGGCAGCAAATAGCCTCTGCCAGCTCCAACTGAAATGAGTCTTATTTCACATCCTCCTCCATGTGCGTGCGTGTTGGTGTGTTGGTATGGAAATGACATTTACTCACCGACAACCAAGCCGTTGGCAGTTCATTTCCGTTGCAATTCCCAGCATTCATTGAATCTACAATTTTATTTTGTTGCCTTTGTTCGCTCGTTCGCGCTCCTCCAGCCAGTTGGCCAACCAACCAACCAAACAGGCAGCCAGCCAGCCATCCATCCATTCAACCAACCATTCTGATTCTCCAAGTGGATGTTTTGGATTTTTTTTCGCGTTCCATTGAATGTATCGTTGTGTTATGCTGTTGTTGTTGTTGTAGTTTTAGTTGTCATTCAACGTCTGGACCATTTGTTGTGTGTTTGGTTTATCTTTCAATATCCAATTGCGTTTCTTCATTCGTCGTGATTCGTTGTGTTTACTGGACGCGCGCTTTAAAACAATACAAACTAATCGAGTTCTTCACCAAAAAGGGGGGCTTTGGATTTTTTTTATTTTCTTCTTGAATTTAGATAGAATTAATTTTTCTAAACTACTTTTCTCAACATCAATACAAATGGAATTGAAGTGAAGTGAAATGAAAATCAAAAGCATATCTTAAATAAATGCTTATCATCTTAACAATCTGCAAAGAAAAGAAACCAACCAGTAAAATATATAAAAATTGTGTGTGAGTTGTGCAAAAAATTAAAAAAAAAAAAAATTAAATAAAAAACACAATTTGTGAAATCTTGAAATTTTGACCATTTTAAAAGAGTATGTTACCACAGAGTAAATTATTACATAAATGTGCTGCGTTACATTAAAAAAAGGATATTCCATCTATTAAGAAAATATTTAAAAAAGGAATTTTGATTTACCGACGCTTACCTCTCTAACGGATATTCAGTATTCAACCAAAAATTACTGCCGCCGGCATAGGAAACTTTTCTCGGAAGTGAGTATAAAATGTTAACGTTTTATTGTAAATCTATATCTATATATATAAATGTAAGTTGTGTTAGTTACTACGCTTATAACTCAAGAACCGCTGATCTGATTTTAACGATTCATACAAATTCTGAATTGTCTCTTTTCCGAAAAGGATAATATTCAAAAAAATCGCGTAAAAATGTGATATATTAACATTTTCAATTTGAATTCTGAAATGTACAATCGTAATGTTTTATTTTGTATGTTTTTTTTTCTATTTTGACTTACTTTTTTCGAATGTACATTTGTAGTGTTTTTTTTAATATTTTTTTTTTTTTCTTTTTGATTCGAATATTAATACCAATTTATTTTGACTCGATTTCTTGAGAACTGAAATAGAAGCCGGGTTACATTGAAGTGTAGTACCAAATTATGTGGTGGCGAAACGACACCTATTTCGTTTCGCCACCACATAATTTATCGAATATTTTAACGCGGTCACACCAAATTTAAGTCAAAATTTCTAAAAATCTTGAAAAAAGAGATCTCATTGCAAAAATTCTCAAATCGGGGAAAAAATTACATAAGGTATAACTAAAGAACGGCTTGACAATTCATACAATTTTGGAATAGTATCCAATAAAAATATTAATAACAAATTTCTTTTTGGTGTGATTTTTTTCAATTTGACATACTATATTGAAGTGAACATTTTTTATTGCCTTGAAATCTGAATGAATAATATTTAAAATAAAATGAGTGAACTACGTGGACCTACATCTTTCATATGGCAATAATCCGCCCAATGAGAACTCAAAATGAAATTCATTGGAACTGCAGTCAGTGAAATACCGAATATAAAGGGTGCAAAATGGTAGAGCGAATTGGACATTTAGGAAAAAAGAAAGAAATTGTTCCTAAACTTTCAAGATGTCTTAAATCGCTTTTGCAGGTCATGATATATGACCCCCGGATAAGGGTACAACCCTATTTCAAGTATTGTTTACATTTTAACCACATTTTTCTCACACCCATTTTAATTTGATAAGAAACCATCCTCGCAAAATATGATCATGTTTTGGTATAACCATCATATAATTTAAGCCATGTTCGGGGTCTTCGACATTTTTTTCATCTTTAGGCCTTTATTTGGCATCTTTGTTTCTAAGGGTGTAAAAAACCTCTTCTCATAATATTTTCAATTTTCGGAGTAGAGTCCATCTTGGTCTTGACCACATTCATCAATTGATTTGGCTAAAAAATTGTATTTAGGCAACTCTGGGGTAGAGAATCGTCCCTCAGATAATTGTCCACATAGGCATTTATTCGAGTATAGTTCTCACATTAGTGTACCCACAAATCCGCTTTCCTAACCAATGTTTGGTCAGAAAAGAAAATTTGATATACTATTGAATTTGAAACTCCCAAGAGAATATTAGTTGGGAACGTAGATGTGGGATTAACATCTACATGCCATAAACTCCAAAATATCAAATTGTGGCAGAAACATGAAAAAATTACGAATATTAATTTTTTTGTTCGTTATTGAATTATACTATGATGAAAAATATGGACTTTATGGGTTCTCCAACTCACAATTTAAATGACAAAAATAAATTAATTAATATTTAACGGTAATGGGTGTAAAAAAGCAATTATCTTCGACTATTTTGAAATAATTCCGCCCTCAATTATGAGGTGGACAAAACTAAATACCACGCAGCACGGTATTCTTAACATTGGAAATTCAATACCAAAAATTTAGCTGAGTTTTCACATGGGGCTATTATAGAAGTTCTATATCATACAGGTTTTTAACACTCAATTATAGCCTTAGGCTGAAAAATAAGATCAGGCTATTCAAAATATCTAAAACCGACGGTAGATTATTATCTATTATAATTTTTCCCATGAATGTTTATTTCTATTTAGAAATTACTATGGAGTTATTTTACTTATAATAAAAATTGTGCCGCTTTCATAATTCTATAATGCTTAAAAAAATATGCATTAAAGACTAAAAGTAAGGGCCGGCAACGCGGACCGGGCCAGCTAGTTTAGAATAAAAATGCAGATTTTGAAAGACTCGATGGAAAATACTTAAAAAAAAAACATTATATTTCATTTTATAGAATCCAAAACAAAATAATGTCTTCAACAATTTTTAAAAGAAAAAATCACATGTGGATATAGAATTTCATGCATTTACCATAAAAATTAAAATAAACGAATTTGACAATTTTCAAAAAATAAAATCCCTTAAAAATTCTGTTAAAATCTTAAAAACAAAGAATGTAGCCATTATATTAGGATCTATACGATGGCGTGGACCTGCATAGGCAACTTTTGTCATAAGCCATTACAATATTTAAAACCGAAACATGAACAAATAAAAATCGGTGAATAATCGGTTCAATTTTATGGAGGCTACACCAAAACGAGGACCTGCACAGAAATCTTTCTTTCATAGGCTGTACTATCCATTACGAACTTCAAATACCAAATTTGAAACATTTCCGGTAAATAATGTCGCTTAAATCACCAAAATATCGATAAAAGGGAGGTACCGTTATATGGGGGAACTACATGGCCAATTTTCAATACCAATAGTCCTTTATTAACCTACTTTATTTCGTTCGGAAGCTAGATTGATTTTCACAGACGGACGGACATCGCTAAATCGACATAAAATTTTATGCTGATCAAGAAAATATATACTTTTCGGGGTCTAAAATGTGTATTTCGATGTGTTACAAACGGAATGACAAACTTAATATAGGGTTGCCCATATTCGACGCACCTTTGGGCGTCGTTGTAAAGTGGACCGAGCCATGCCCAACTGCTGAGATTGGCGTTCTTGCGATGTTCTTGAGGACCTCTCAACACTGGCTCGTACGGCAGCGATATTCTCGGCCGATCGCCTTGGTCGACTTTCATATGGCCTCTTTGGATTAGAATGAGCCTTACCAGTCGAAAATTTTTCGTATAAACGCATAATGGTGTTGTGAGAAGGCGCACTTCTCACATTTTTTTTCACAATTGACTTCTTCTGTTGAATGTAAATTTCAACTATTTCAGAGCGCTCGCGTGGCGTGTATTGGTTCATGGTAAAAATCTGCTTGGACAGATGCTTCAAACGCGGTATGTCATTTTTTTCACTATTTTTTTTATTTAAAGAGAAAATTGTAAATATGGATGAAATAAGCCACAAAGGCTGAATACATGTATTCAGTTTTAACAATTCAACTTTGTTTGTTTCTGTTTACGTTGAAAATTAAAGCGATTAAAAGAAAACGTGTGAATATTAAGAACATGAAATGGCTACATTTGGAATAATTAATTCTTTTTTATTTGGTTGGAATATATTAATTTGTGTATTTCTTTAATTCGGCTGTAAAACAGTTTCGCTCGTACAGAATGGTGAAATCACTGCTGAAAATATCAGTTATATGTTGTTTTGTTTTCCAAATAAAGCTGTACAATTTTACACATTTTCGAGAGAAGAAGCAATTTTTTTTTTGATTTTAAAAGTTTACAATTCAATTTTTTCTTATGAAAAGTAATCTTTTTTAATTAGAACCGTCAGGTAGTGTTCAGTAATTCAAAAGTGAAAGCTTTATAAAAGTGCTGTAGAAATGTCTTTAAAATTAACTCAAATATGTTCATATTTTCACTACATCCGAAAAGTTTATAGAATTAAAAATAATTCCGAGAAGGTCCGAAAAGTTTTAGTTTTTGTATTTTGGTATAGAATGTTGTCTTTGTTTTATTTATTTATTTATTTTTGTTTTATGCTTTCAACAAGTAAGCAAAGGCTATAGTCGTGTGGGGCCGACCATGTGATACCCTACAACACTACAATATGTTCGAAGTCCCCTTATATCCAAATCCATTTTGGAAGATTTTGTTTTTGAAATAATGTCAAAGAGCCCCGCTCAGAGGTTACCCTTAGTTTTTTGACCCGGAGAATTTGGCCAATATTTACGTACTCCGTAGTGTTGTTAAGTATTCAAAACAATTTCACACGAAAGTTGTGGTATATTTTACAGCTAAATATTATCCAATGGTCATTCAAAATGCTAAACTTCTTCCCTGTCCTTAACTCTCTACAGATGCGAAATTGTCACAATAGTTTGCATTGTATCTTGGATAGTATTGAAAAGGAGATACATCGGTCCACGTTCTCGTATAGACCCCTTGTATGACGGGACCTCTAGTTCCGGTTTTACATATATATATATATATATATATATATATATATATATATATATATATATATAATTCCGGTTGTATACTCAATACAGGGTGAGATGAAAAAACTGCAACCAACTTCAGACTGCTGTCAATTCTAGCCCACTCGTCCGACAGCTGTTAAAATTATTCCAGTGACAGCTCATTATATTGTTTACACAAAAGCATTTTGGTGAAAAAAAGTTATTCGTGATGGAATTCAAGCGTGATAGTGAGATTTCTTTATATTTGGCTGGAAAACCACAATTGACTATCGTTAGAACACTCCAGCATTTAAATGTAAATAAATATTTTGTGTCTCGTAACATCGCTCGTTACGTTAATACTGGTAAAGTAACCCGACGTCAAGGAAGTGGACGGAAGAAAACAGCAACATCAGCAGAAACGATTCGAAAAGTAAAAAATATTCCATATATCGCAATATACGTTGATACTGGTAGCGTAACCCGACGTGAAGGAAGTGGACAGAAGAAAACAGCAACATCAGCAGAAATGATTCGAAAAGTAAAGAAGCGACTTGATCAAAACCCATTGCGACGCGGTGGGTCGCAATATTCCATTGAAAATATTGAAAAATGAGCTCGGGGTAATGCCATTGAAATTCCAAAAAGTGCAAGAACTTACACAGCAACTGAAAGAAAATAGACTCAAAAGAGCTAAAGAATTGCTTCGCTTGGCCGAAAGTGGTGAACAGCCGAATTTGGTTTTCTTCGATGAGAAAACATTCGTTGTCCAGCAGTTTGTAAACAAACAAATGATGGTATTGAAAATGAG